AAATGGTGAAGTCAATGTTTATATTTAAGAAAAAGATAAAAACTGTTTTGTTGGAACAATATATATAACTGATTAATATCTATTTTGTTAAGTATGAAACTTTGATGAGTTATGTATTTTGATGTATTATATATGAATGTTTATGTTTAAATTGATGGTTTGAATTGATTTTGTTTATGAGGGAGCAGATATGATAAGAAATTTTCTTCTTCTGCTTCCTTTCATTTTATATTTGTTTTTCTTTAATTTTTTGAAATTGTATTTGTGTTTTTATTGGAAATTAAATGAATAAATAAATAAATAAATAAATAAATAAATAAATAAATAAATATATATATATATATGTATGTATGTATATGTATATGTATATGCATATGTATATGTATATGTATATGTATGCATGTTACAAAAAAACTTGAGCAAAAGTTGCTTTAATGGGAACTCTTTAAAGATGTTTCTGTTTAAACTAATTTTAGTTCATTTTAATGTAAAAAGAATTACAAAAATATGTGTTTATTTCATTTAGCTGCAGGCGATGCCCAAACAGTAACTAAAAATGTTTTAAATGGCAGTTTAGCTTCGGGGAACTGGCATGGAACAACCTACACTGTGGGAACAGACTGGTTGACGCACCAAAACTTGAACTGTTGACTTTCTTAAAAAATAACTGACAAGGAAACATTTGCCAAACAGTTTGAAACTGTGAGAACAACAATGATGCAACAGTGACGACTAACCGCACGTTTTCTCTTTGGGCAAACAGGATCTTAATCAAGTTCATACAAGTTAAAACTTATTTTATCTTTTGTGTTCTTTCAAATCAGGTAAATAAAAAAAATCATGAAGAACTTGTCAAGTATGTACTGTGAAGAATGCCCTGAGGGGGCTCATAATAATTATGTTTATTAAGGTCAGGAAAAAAAAAAGTTAAATCATGTCAGAAAAAGGTCAGAAAAACTTTTTTGAGTTGTGTAATTTGAATAAATTTGACTTCAAATGGTGGACTACCATCCAGATCTAGAACCAGACTAGTTGTTTAAATATTGTTAATACTTTTTCCCCCGACTTGCATTGATTGTAATTTTAACACTCCTGTTCCTCTTGGGTCAAAAAGGCCTAAGAGGCCCCTGTGGGTCTTTTTTTTCTACCGAAGGGCAGCAGGAGGGTAAAGAGACTGAGCTTTTCCTGCTTTTACAGTAAACTTTTTTGGGCCTTAAGCAAAAAACAACAACAAAAAAACAATAACAGTAGAGTAAAATAAAAATTCACACTTGCTTTAAAAAAAAATCCCAAAGTTCTGAGAAAATAAGTCAGAATTCTGGAGACCTTGGCCCTAATCCTCTTCCGTAGGTTTCTCAAAACCCAAATGATGTATTCTTCTTTTGAACCAGTTAAACTTCTGTACTAAGTTTTTTAAAATATGTTTTCTTGCATTTATTTAAGGGCCCACATCTTGATTCATAAAAATTCTATCTGTATATCAGTTATAGAATTTTAAAATAATGTTTTTAACATAAGTTTTCTTTTATTAATAATAATGTTTAAGGGTCCTAAAATATTAGTTTTTTTTTTTTTTGTTGTAGTTGGTTTATTTTCTTTTTTTTTTTTCTTTTTAAATTTAGGTTATTTTTTTTTTAAGACCTCTTCCCCTCCCCCCCCGCTTCCCTCTCCACCCCTCT